GAAAGACAAGCAGTGTGAGTGGGGGATAGCAATTCTCACAAAAAGTACCATGACTGAGATTACTCAATTTTGATTCTCCTATGAGGATGGGAAAGCCGTTGAGATGGAGAGCCATGTCAGTGAGTTACCTGGTCCTTGTTAGTGTGGATTGGTAACTACTGAGGGAAGAGAGAATAAGAGGTAACAAGTGCCTGTTCCTTCAACCCACCTTTAATCTGGTAGCTATCAAGCATGGCCACACTTTGGGAGAGAAAACTAGAGAAGTGAGCCAGATAAGGAAAGGCATCTAAAAATAGGAAGTAACCACTGGAATAGAAACCCAAAGGTAGAAGTTATCAGCAGAATATAAAATGGCTATCTCACTAAATCAACATCACTTCATATTAGCTTCTTTATATGTTTGTAATTTTGAAAATAGGAGTGCTGTTTGTGTGTGTGCGTGCATGTGTATGTGTGGGGGGGTGGGGGTGTTTTAAGCACCCCTGGTAGAAATTACTGTTGATTGAAATGACTACTCACTTAGGAATACAACCTGATTAGTAACCTAGAAACTTCAAGATTTTGCCCACAAAATAAAGAACATATAAATAATTTAATTTGGTTACCGTGTTACAGTGTTGCTGTGTTAGATTAGTAAAAGAAAGAATTTGTGTGACTCTTTTTTCCAGGATTGAGTGTGGTAAAACTTAATTCTTTATACTACTTTCACATTTTCTAAAAGCAGTGTTATAATTTTCTTTAAAAGATATACATTTAGTACAAATGTTTACCTTTATTCTGTAGTTAATAGCTTTAAATAAATTCATGGAAATTTAGGTTTTTTAGTAGTGATGTATCAAGAACATTTAACATTATACTCCTATTCTTTTATTAGGATCTGGAACTTGGAAGGAATGCAGACAGCTCATTTTGTTCTTCATTCCCCTGGAATGAGTGTGTGCTGGCATCCTGAGGAAACTTTTAAGGTTATTATTTACAACTTAGCTTTCTTTTATCAAACTGAAAAGACATATACAGATATAATACATACACACATGGAGGAGAAAAATCTATGACTTTTCCACTTCAGAGACGCTAATTGGCACAAATGCATTTGCATTAGTCTAGAAATCTGTACTTTTAAAGTTTCTCTGTAATTGCTAAAGTTTTTAATTGACAGCCATCATCCATAAGTGACATTTATTTAGAGTGCACTTTTCCTGATCTTTGGTAGATTACGATCTAAAAACTGATGCCCAGATGATCTAATAGAATGAAGTTTGCGGTTTAAAAAAATGAAAAAGTTACGTCCATGCCTGTGAGCTATAGAGTATAAACAGAAAACAGCAGTGGCGTAAGGCAAATTTGTCCTAGCTGGAGTGGTATTCGATTCTTATTCAGAGTAGAGCTTTCTAAAATACCAAAAGTAAACTACAAATTTGTATTATCAATCGGCCTTAACTCTTATTTTATTGAGAAAATAGGAGCCATTCAACAAGAGTTCTCATTTGTCAGTCTCTGCTCTTGGACATCACTGTATTTATTGTATCTTTCCCTAGAATCCAAGAAGTTACCATATTCATCTTTCTTAAAGTTAATCCTTCAGCTGTTCTCTGGAGTTCATGCCAGGTGCTTAGTCACCCTGCTTTCACAGCCCTCTAATGTCTTCATACTTTTTCTCCATTGACTCTGTTTTTTCCTCAAGTTCACACAAAAAGATAAGTTTGATTATAGCAAATACATAGCATTTACATATGCCAGGACCATCGTCAGCATTTCACATATATTAGCTCACTTAATCCTCATGACCACCTTGTGAGATAGGTACTGTGATGATCCCCATTTTACAGATGAGTAAACCAAGGCTCGGAGAAGTTAACTTGCCCAAGATCACACAGCTAGAAAGTAGAAGAATTGGCATTTGAACCAAAGAAGCCTGGCTTCATAGTTGTTGCTCTTAACAATCACATTCTTCCCCCTCTCTTTTAAATTTTAAACTATCTTCTTCATACCCTGTGTTTCTAAATATTTAAATACATCGCCTATTCCTTTTAACTTATGGTTGCTCTTTCCCCATCCCCTGATCTAACTCCGCAATCTCAGTCTTTACTACTCTCTCAGAAGTTATGAGTGATATTTTCAACATATTCAATGGCATTTTCCTTTATTCTTAATTTCAAGGCAGTTTTTTACACTTTTGGTCACCTCCTTCTTGAAACTTTCCTTGCTTGATTTTTAAAGCTGCAGTATCCTGGTCCTCTTGAGCAACTTTGCATGTATCTTCTTTTTCTTTTCATTCTGCCAACTTTTGTTTTACCACATATTTGTGAATTGCTCTAAAGATTAGTTCTCACCTACACTGTACCCTGTATTATAATAGGATGTAACAAATGAATAAGGTCCTTGCCCATTTATTATACACTGACTTGAAGAAAAACATGTAAATATAGCAATACAGATAATAAGTTT